TCATTCCTAGGACAGATACAATTCAAGGTTAAACAAACAAAAGAGTCATATTCAATGTCAGAGAGAGGTTTATAAGGTTTCAACAGTAGTGGAAACTGCTGGTCGCATGCACTAAGAAATAAAAATAATCAAATTAAAGGTTGTGAATCACTCTAAATTGTGCATGAAGCTTTACATTTGTTTCTGGTTTATGAAATATTTCATATTCAAAGTAAGTATTTTATGTATGGTAGGAAAATAAAACACAATTAAAGGCAAAATAAATTTTGTTTTTATTGAATATCAGAACTAAAAGAAACAGCTGCTGTTTCTTACGTACTTTTTTTAATCACTGACATCCTTTTCTTTCAACATTTCTATTGTGAGGAGCAAATTCTCCTAATTGAAATGAAATATCCCCTTTAAGGTTTGAGAATTTTTAAACCATGATTTTCTATTATTTCTTCAAAAATCCCTTACTATCTCTACAATCCTATATAATAAAAGGCTAATATGCAAATAGACTGAACGGTGGAGCCAGAACAACCAAACAACCGGTCACTATGATGTGCGCTGACCACCAGGGGCCATGTGAGGAACATGGCGGGCTTCGACCACGGTGGGATGGTGGAGCAGGTGAGCAGGGGCGGGAGCGAGGCTGCTGGCAGACAGGGGACCAGGGGCTGTGGTGGGAGAGGCCGGGCAGGGGGGCAGAGGATGGGCTGAGACCTGCCCCTGTGCCTACCGCAGCCTCATGGCCCACAATTCCTTTCAAGGTGCATGAACTCGTGCACTGGGCCCCTAGTAGTAAATATAATTAGGTAGTATATACTTTTATCAGTAACAGTGGGAGCCATTCCACTCTGTAATTCTGTAGCTACATGAGGATGGACCTAGTATCTCCTGAAATTCTTTCTGGGCCTTTCAAAGGTGTAACACTGTCTTCCATTACTGTGATTGGTGGTAGAAAGAGAAACAAAATAAAAAATTTAAATCATTGTTATTGTTTCAAAAGCACTTATCATCTACTTGAGGGGCATTCCTGCAATCCAATTAATCAAAGTTTAAAAGCATATTAAAATAAAAGTCTATATATTAACCCCTTATTAGATGTATCATTGGCGAATATGTTCTCCCATTCAGTGGTTTTGTCTTTTAATTCTGTTGATGTTTTCCTTTGCTGGTGCAACAACTCTTTCCTTTGTTGTACTACCATTTGTTTATTTTTTCTTTTGTTTCCCTTGACCAAAAAGATATAATCCAAAATTTATAAAGAACTTACAAAACTCAACACCAAAAAAACAAACAATCCAATTTTAAAAATGGGAAAAGACCTGAATATTCACTTCAAGAAAGACGTACAGATGGCCAATAGATATATGAAAGAATACTCAATGTCACTAAGTGTCAGAGAAATGCAAATTAAAATCACAACGAGTATCACCTCACATCTGTCAGGAAGGCTATCATCAATAAATCAGCAAACATCAAGTGTTGGCAAGGATGTGGAGAAAAGGGAACCTAGTGCACTGTTTGTGGGAATGCAGACTGGTGCAGCCACTGTGGAAAGCAGTCTGGAGTTACTTCAAAAAATTAAAAGTGCAACTACCTTATGACCCAGTGATTCTTCTTCTGGGAATTTATCCAAAGAAACCTGAAACCCTAATTTGAAAGAATATATGTACCCCTATGTTCATTGCAGCATTGTTTACAATAGCCAAGATTTGAAAGCAACCTAAGTGTCCATCAGTAGTTGAGTAGATAAAAAAGCTGTGGTACATTTACACAATGGAATACTACTCTGCCATAAAAAGAAAGAAAATTTTATCCTTTGCAACAGCATAGATGGACCTGGTGATTATTATGCTAAATAAATAAGCCAGTCAGGTAAAGACAAGTACCATATGATTCACTCATATGTGGAATTTCACTCAAACTGAACTACCAAGCAAAATAAAGACATGTGAATAGAGAGCAGGCAGACAGGTGAGGGTTGGGGTGGGGAGGAATTGAGCAAAAAATAAAAAAGAGAGAGAGAAAACTCATGGACATGGACAACAGTGTGGTGATTGCAGGGGTGGAGGTGGAAGAGGACATGGAGGGGATAAATGATGACAGAAAAAAATAAAATTTTAAAAAGAGAAAAGGCGGTTTAAGATCAACATAATAAAGTTTTTCTTTAGTTCAAGTTCTGAGTGTCTGTGCTGTGCTAGATCTTGGAGCAACATTAAAAAAAAAATTATAGCCTGGCTACGAGTAGCTTGCAGTCTCGTGTTGAAAAAGAAACACAAAACATATCAGACTTTCAAAGTTCTGTGACAGAGGGTCTATACAGGAGGCCAGACCACAGAGGCGGACAGTGGACCAGCAGGGATGCGGGGGACGGATGCCTTCATTATGATTGAAAGGCAGAGACTAGAAAGGGGGTTTTCAAGGTATAGGGAGCACCATAGTATACTTCAGGAAAGGGCAAAACTGTATGGATTGTTTTGAGAAATATAAGATGTTCAATATCGCTGGAGCATAAGGCAGAGAAAAGGAGAATACTCTCATGGGGGCAAGAGAGATGTAGAAAATAACCCAGAAAGAAGAGCAAAAGGTGACTGCAGAATGAAAGTAGCAGTGGGATCAAGAAGAGACTCACTGTACCAAGTTCCCTGACAGTGAAGTGGTCATGGACAGTGAAGTGGTCATGGACAGTGAAGTGGTCATGGACAGTGAAGTGGTCATGTTGTGGGGGTTGACCCCTTTAAGGGTCATACAGCAGATGGAATGAGAGTATGAGACTAGGGGCAGTGAGATCCATTAGGAGGGTAGCTTTAATTAACATTTCAAGCTAAATTCACTAATCTTGCTTCAATAGCTAGCACAAGATACAAAGGGCCTCGTATCATTTTTATAATATATCTATATATAAAATGTTATTTACAAATGTGATAAATAACCAATATCAGATTAACATTAAAGCCAAAATATATTAAGGCATTTCAAGTTTTATTATGCTCAACCAACCTTCAATGAAAATATATTACATTTTAGACATTGTCAACCAATGTCACAATTTTATATTTTTTCTCTTAATTCAAGGGACAACTTTCTTTTGTTTCTTTTTATTGAAGTAATTTTATTTGGCCTGTTTCCACCAAAAATTTCCACACAGTACCTCAGAAACAACATACCAGATGAAATAAAAATAAGACCAATAAGAAAGGCATAAGCAAGCAATATCATATATTTATACGATGTATAAAGTGAATAAATAGAAGATATTGAATTAAGAACTGAACTTACAATCTTGATCATGAGATATTACCCAGAGGTAGTAGAAATGAAAAATTTAATTAAGAAATGCCCACTCTAGATCAATCATGGCTACATTTTCAAAATAAATATATTATTTTCAAAAATCTAAATCAAACTCATTAATAAACTGGTATGCAGAGCTTAAAAAAGTACAAAGGAAAAGCTTGATTCAGAGGCTAAAACAAGCATTAAATGAAAGTTAAAATATAGTTTCAATTTAGATATTAGATTAGCCTTAAAGCATTTTTGAATTAATAAAATTGATTTTAAAACATTTTGCATTACTTTAAAAATTATACGTGATTTTCAGAAGAGACGCTCTACAACCACTGGCCTCATCTGATGACATGCAGACCTGTTCCAGCTGCTGCTCTGGAGTTTATCTCACTTTAGAATGAGCTGGCTCCTGTGTATCAGCCCTAACACAAACCTGTGCCAGCGTATCCGCTTTTCTTTGTATGTCTTTTGGCCCACAGTCAAGCTGTACAGCAACTTTAAGATTATTTTGTTTTTAACTTAAATATGTAATCCAGAAATTCCTTTTTTAAATTTATTGGGGTGACGTTGGTTAATAAGATTTTATAGGTTTCAAGTGCACATTTCCATGATACATGACCTGTATATTGCCTTGTATGCCCACCACCCAAAGTCAAATCCTTTGGAATTATGTAATCATCTGCTATGTATAACCTAACCTAAAAATTTTAAATAATCATGATCATGCTTATCTTCCACAATAAAAAAAAAAACTCACAGCCACAAGGAAGTTTTCACTACATCAGTAGATAAGTCTCATCAAGAGAACACCGTACTTCCAGCAAAGCAACATCGTTACCTTCCAAGCTATGTGTAGTAGATATAGAACATAGGCTTATACATCCCATGAGTTTTCTAAATCAGACAATACATCAGAAACTATTTTTCTGCCCCCTTCAGCACCACTGCTCTTCGTGTTAACCTGGGATACGCAAAGCAATGATGTTAAATGAACATACTCCAGCACTGAGCACCCCAGAAGCGTGTGTAAAAGTGCTATGTGTGACGAATGGAACAAACAAACTATGAATGTGTAGAGTAAGGGATGTTAAGTCAACATCTTTAGTAGAGAATTGCCTTTTGTAAGAACCAATCTCACAAGTCACTGGACAAGCTGAGAAGCTCACCTACATGCGGTGTCCTCTGCCCCGTGGATTAAGGAGACTGCTCCTAGATTCCATCACTCATTCTCTCTATTCCCACAAGGACCATCATTTCACTCTGGTGCACTGTCAGAGGGGCGTGAGTGTGGGCATTTTGACAAGGTCTACTACTTCATCTTCACATGTTCACCTGAATTTCCCCCTACTCCATGTCTAGACCACAGGCTACTGAAATGTACTAATATTCATGTTCTAAATCTGGTAGAAAGCAAATAGGAATTTATCAACAGGAAGACCACAAGTTTGACAGAATGAAGAAACAGAAACTTGCTGATAGGACACACCATGAAATTGGCGTCCTAGTCCCACTGCCCACATTATTTAAGCGTGTTATGAACGCACACAGCATTCTTAAGAACAGCACACAAAACTACACTCCACCCAGAACAGTCTCAAACAGCAGGCAGCCCCCCTCTTGGCGTTCACACGCTGCACAGCCCTATGCGCCCTGATGCAGAGCAGTCAACAGGGAGATGGAGTTTACGAGTAAAAGCGAGACTGAGCTGGCTAATTACTTACCTTCTCACTTAGGGCAGGCTTGCTCGTCTAACTTTTTGTTTCCTCTCTTGTCATAGCTCAGCGGCAAATGGTTATGATTCAGCAGAGGTTTGAACCTGACAGTTAAAAAGAACTTTTTTAATTTAAAACAAACATTAGAAATGAACGTCCCCCTGCACGGCAGTCTTTCTTTCCTTGCCCTCTGTGTGCGCGTCTCTCGTTGTCTCTCTTTGCAAGGCAAGCTACGTAGTGGTCTATAAATATTGACCCTGACACTTGCTCCGGGCTTTACTTGCTCATGGCACAGGTCTGTGTTACTGAACACCGTGGTAATGCGCAGGCAAAGTTCTCAGCTGCTCAGACAAAGCTGGGGATTGGCTCACTACCCAGCAACCCTGTGCCTGCCTGGAAATACCATTTTGCTGCCAGCTTTACAGATGCTATGGGCCTTTCCTGAGGCCCAAATCAGGCACAGAAGGGCAATTATGAGGTTTGTCTGAAGAAATCGTTTTCCTCAAGCAGGTGGAAAGAAGGGGGGCTGGGCACGGTGGAAGACAAGAAAGGAAATACTGCCTTTGTTTTGGCCAAACAACATAATCTCAAACCCTTTATAAAAGTCAGACCTACATATGTAATACTCCTTGTAATATTTTAAGCAATAAAACAATTAAAAAATAAAAATAAAAGAAGCTGTATATTTTAAAAAAAAGTCAGACTTAATATCATTCCATCAAGCTTCACAAAACTGAATTACTACAGTTTCTACATATTGTGAATGAGCAAAAGATATAGAAAAGCATTTTCTGCCATAGTTGTGAATGCTCCTCATTGAAAAAGGTTGCATTTTTTAGTTCAAAATCCTAATGAGTAATGGAACACAAATATTGTGTTCCAGAATTATAGAAATGCACTGGAAAGTATAATATTAATAAAGATCAAATTATGTATTTGGTGAAAAAAGCTAAAACATAACTTAAATTATATGAATCAACATATTATATTTACTACTAGTTTTTAATCATGAGAATTATAATTATAAATAATTAAAAATAATTATAATTATTTTACTTTATATATTTTTCAGATTAAAGATAAACTCTAAGCCATGATGTTTGCAGATGATATGAACTAGGTCAGCATTACACACATATGCCACATACAATATCCACAGTAGGAATGATTAGAAAATAAATCAAGGTCATATTTTTTTTCTTTTAGCCAAGAATAATCATGTTTGCTTTATTAAAATTTCCTCCCTTGGTTAAATTCACAATAAAGGCAACTTCAGAAATAATTTGGTCACTAACTCATTTTATAGTTGAGAAAGTGGACTCCCAGGTTGGTTAACTTCCCATGTCACAAGGGAAGTTTGCAGCAGAGTTAAAACCAGAGTCCTTCCCTTATTGCTCACAATGGTGTGCTCTTTCTAGCACAAGAGTGGTTCTCAAATTCATTTTTAAGTTCAAAATCCTATCTTCATGTGAAATCTTACTGAAACCTTACCATAAGCCAGAAAAATAACTAGCATAAAACAAAAATAGCCTTTTACAGTTTAACTGACCCAAAAGAGTTGTGCACAAGAATTAACTTTCTAACAATTGAAATCCACTTTGCCTTGTTTCATTCAATAATTAATATTTATCCAATAAATGAACTTATTACCAGGAGAAGTACATAGCCAGTTGCTGAAAAGACAAAGATAATATGTAAGTCCTACTCTTAGAGATCTTCCAGTCCAATTTCAGAGGGGAAAGAAAACCTAACTACAAAAAAAAAATGTGTTCATGTAATAAGGGAGACTATAGGAGAGTAGTGAGGGAGCATATGAAACACAGGCATCTGAGACAATATGAAGTAAAGGTATAATAAGTAATTCTTCAATGGAGACTTCTGCATCTTAAAATATGAGTAGAAGGCAGTGAGGCAAAGAAGGCAAAGAGTAAGACAATAAAGACAAACAGGCATGGAAAAGCATGACATAGAACTTCAAGCAGTTCTTGCTGGAGCATAGAACGTGAAGCAGAAAATACATTTGTTTAACAAATTTTTAAAGAATGCGCTTCACTTACTCCTCTCCCCCTATACAACCCCTGGAATCACTGGTCTTTTTACTGTCTCTATAGTTTTGCCTTGTTCAGAATGTCATATAGTTGGAATCATACACTATAGCCTCTTCAGACTGGTTTCTTTTAGTTAGCAATTGAATGGATAGTTTTAATGGAGTCAATTTCCAAATTCTCTTCTACATAAACTCTTTATTAATATCCAGCTAACAGCGATGCTTTATTCACAACAACCTTCCTTTTACTTCACAGAAGAAAGGGACACTCTCATAGATCCCAAATATTACTATAGTAGATTGCCCTAGGGTCACAGAAAATTCATAATTTTAAAATTTCAATTAATTCCTTACATTTTTGTTGAAGAGAAGTATGATAAACAGTTAAAGACTTTTAACTATAAAAATATCACATAAAAATTCTATGAGGAAGTGAGATGGAAGTACAGGTCAAGAAAATAAAATAGTAATGTAAATTTTTCAGCTTTTGACAGAGAGTCTATTCATTATTATTTAAATGAATAATGGTTTTATTAAATTACTGTGGATTTAGATTCCATTGAGTATTCTTAAAATAGTTGATAGAAGTTTTATTTTAAAATGTCCAATAGTTCCAATAGGGTAGAAATTAAATTCTTTGCAAGTACATATTTTACCACAGGTGAAAAACTGTAGATGTTAACTTGGTAATGTGTGAGTGGTTACATAGTTTTTCAAAATTCTTTTAAAGGTATGTGAACAAAAATAGTTGGAGACTGCTAGCCTACTGTATAAAACCCAAGTTTTTAACCTGGAATATAAAACTTTTCATCACCTTTCTCCCTCTAAGGAGATTTCAGGGCAGTGAAACTATTCTCTGTGAGAGTGTACTGGTAGGTACGTGACATTATGCATTTAGCAAAATCCTAGAACTGTACCACACAAAGCGAGAGCCCCAATGAAAACTATGGACTTTAGTTAAATCTTTCTCTTGTCTTTCTGAAGCATGTGCCTAGAGAGGAGCATTATAATTTATTGAGCAATTACCACCTAACAGGGGCTTAAGAAATATATTCTCTAACTAAATACAACCCTGACAGACGGGTATGCCTTTGCCTTTTTGAAGATGGAGAAAATGAGGCTTACAGTTATTAAGGGGCTTGTCTGAAATCATATAACTAATGAACAGTAGATTTGAAATTCAGCCCAAACCATACAGGACTACAGTACCACATGCTGCCTTTATATGAGTCATTTAAATAAGATAGAGGTTGTCCAGGAAGGGCAAGGAAGTAGATTCAACAGTACCCTAACAAAATCAGAAGGAATAAAAAGATTCTTCCTGCACTTCTTTAAGGAACTGCGAGAATTTTAATGTTGAGTGTTAAACAGTAGCACAAAGAAGAGACTAACAAATTAATCAATGGAAACCAGTGGACAAAATTAAAGTAAGTGATATGCCCTATGAAGAAGAACTTAAAGGGTTTTATCTTCAAATTCGAATGAAGAGAAAGGAACACATCAAGAGTCAAAAGTGTGTAGCCCTAACCAGTTTGGCTCAGTGGATAGAGCGTCGGCCTGTGGACTGAAGGGTCCCAGGTTCGATTCTGGTCACGGGCATGTACCTTGGTTGTGGGCACATCCTCAGTGGGGGGTGTGCAGGAGACAGCTGATCAATGTTTCTCTCTCATCTATGTTTCTAACTCTCTATCCCTCTCCCCTCCTCTCTGTAAAAAATCAATAAAATATACTTTTTTTAAAAAAAAGAGTCAAAAGTGTGAAGATTCAATATTGTCAAAATGTCAGTTCTTCTACATTTTATCTATAGATTCAATTCAATTCCAATCAAAATCCCAGGAGGTCATTTTGCAGAAATAAACCCATACTAAAGTTTACATAAAGAGGCAAAAAACTCAGAATAGCCAATGCAATATTGAAGAAGAACAACAAAGTTGGAGGCTGACACTAATAGACGTCAAGACTTACTACAGTTGCCAGGTCAGCTTGGTTCAGTAGTTGAGCGTTGGCTATGAACCAGGAGGTCATGGTTCAAATCCCTGTCAAGGGCACATGCCCGGGTTTCGGGCTCGATCCCCAGTAGGGTGCATGCAGGAGGCAACTGATCAATGAATCTCTCTCATCATTGATGTTTCTATATCTCTCTCCCTCTTCCTTCTTCTCTGAAATAAATAAAAAATTTTTTTAAACTTACTACAATAATCAAAATAGTGTTGTGCTGGGGGAAAAATAGACAAATAGCTGAATGGAAGAGAACAGAGAGCCAAGAAATAGGCTCACATAAATATAGTCAACTGATCTTTGACAAAGGAACAAAGACAATTTAATGGAGCAAAGATAATCTTTTCAATAAATGGTGCTGAACAACTGGACCATCCATATGCAAAATACAGAATCAAGAGAAAGATCTTATACCCCTCCCCAAAATTAACTCAAAATGTATTAAAAAAACCTAAATGTAAAACTCAACATTCTAAAACTCCTAGATAATGTTGGAGAAAACCTAAATGACTTGGGTATGGCAATGAATATTGAGATATAACACCAAAGGCACAATCCATGAAAGAAATAATTGATAAAGTGGTTTCATTAAAATTAAAAATTTCACCTCTGCAGAAGACAATTTAAAAGAATGAGAAGACAGCCCTGGCCAGTTTGGCTCAGTGGATAGAATGTCGGTCCATGGACTAAAGGGTCTCAGGTCCAATTTTGGTCAAGAGCATGTACCTCGGTTGCTGGCTAGATTCCTGGCCCTGGTCAGGAGACAATTTATTGATGCCTCTCTCACATTGGATGTTTCTCTCTCTCTGTCTCTCACCCTCCCTTCCATTCTGAGAGAGAGAGAGAGAGAGAGAGAGAGAGAGAGAGAGGGAATGAGAAGACAAGCCATAGACTGTGAAAAAAAAAGTTGCAAAAGACACATCTGATAAAGGACTATTACCCAAAATTTACAAAGAACTCCTAAAACTCAACAATAAGAAAACAAACAGACCACTTTTAAAAATGAGCCAGAGACCTTAACAGACACCTCACCAAAGAAAATATACATACAGATGGCAA